TAACTATTACTAATTTATATTCCATTCGTTAAGTATTTTACTACTACTATTATTATATCAACATCATTGTCACGATTATTATTGTTACTGTTATCGACATTATTATCGTTATTATTATTGTTATCACGTTTATTATTGTTATTGTTATTGTTATTGCTAATATCACTATTACTATCATCACTAATTATTAATATGAATTGCAACAAAGTATAAGATAATATTAATATGAATTATAACTTATCATTCTGATATTAGTGGTTGTAAAGTATGATGTTTTAAATTTTGAATTTGACAAATTGGATGAACTGGATGTATAGTGAGCATGTGAATGCATAAAATGTTTGTTTATAGTTGATGATTTCGTTAGGAAATGACAACAAGTTGATTTAATACTCTAAAAAGTTTAGGAGTGTTACAACTCATGTTCTTAGTTAATCATATAAAACATATGGTGTGATGAAAGTATTATCCATTTATAGTTTATCTCATTCAATCCAACTATATTACTCTATTAAACTTATATAACAACAACAACTTGAGTGTTATATATGATAGTTGCTTAACTTATAAAACTAGTAAAATGAATCAATTGTCAATCAATGACATTTTGTTCAGATTAATAAATTTCATATGATTCATTTATACAAAATTATTTAAATATTTAAAACAAATAATTATATTTATATTAACAAATTTTGAAATATTTTTTAAAATAAGATATCTTATTATGGTTATAATAACAATTATAACAAAAAATTAAGTTAAACTTGACAATAATAAGATAATTGATGCTTAGTATATATAATTTATATTTAAGTGCAAAATTTTGATCAACTACCTATAAGAGTTATTTTACAATTACCACATTAACTTAGTATCAAAACTTTAAGACGTCATAATTTGGAAACATATAATTTTGAGAGCTATATATTACTCGTCTTATTTTAGAGTAGGCATCCATATCTCGCATAAAACTGAATGAAGAATTACATCGGGTAGTAATAAGTAATAACAACTATGTCAAAAAATTCACAATTTTAAATATTAAAATTTTAAAAGAATAGTATTTATCACTACAAAAAAATTATATTGTTCCAATAAACATAAAATTCAATAGCTTAAAGTATATTAAAGTCAAACCTTGAATGAAAAAAACAGTGAAAGTTATTAAATTATGTTTTGTCTAATATATAAATACAATAAAGTAATTTGTTTATGTAAATTAAGATAGCATGAGACAATTTTTAATATATTTTATCGAATTGATTTATATATAGGTTAATATTTAGTTTAGAGATTAAAGATAAAAAAATATAATTATTATAATAACTGGTTGAATTAATAATATATAATAAATAGAAAAAAGTAAAAAAAAATATATATAAAAATCTGAATTCAATATATATAAATATATAATATTTTAAAAATAACAAATAAAAAATAATTTATTTCAGTTTGGATTAAATTAGAAGAAAAACAATTCAGTTTTTAATTTAAATATATTTTATTTTTTTTAATTCGATTTTAGACTATGGTCTTAATTTAGAACTAATAATGAAGAAGAGATGGAAGGTACTTTTGACATTTTATATAACCAAGTTAGTGATTAATTATTTCATAGTTTTGAATCATAAATTTTGCTCTTTATTCAACATTTTTTTATTATTTTGACCTATTTTTTTATTTAAAAAAAACATAACTAAATTATTTGTATATAATATAATTGTAAATTAATAAAAAAGCAATACAATAATTTAGTCTTCTTAAAAAGTATATTAATATTATAAAGAAAAAACAATAAATAGTGACAAGAATTCATTGACTTTGGGCAAAATTAAATTAAATTTATTTTATTTTTAAAAGAATAAAATAATAAATATATTAAATTATTTTTTAAAACCGAAAAATTAAACAAAAATTATATAAAAATAATTAATTAATATAAATTGATTATGATGG